AGGTACTGAACCTCAACGCGCCGAGACGTTCTCTCGAGTCTCCACGACTACCACACCCTGTCGTGGTTTTCTTTTCTGGTTCCTCTTCCTCGTAATCGCCGCACAATCGTGACAAGGCGGACAATCGATTCCCGTTGTCACGATATTCTTAGGTTTTTTTCGGTAAAGTCACGTAGGTAAAAAATTAAAATTAATAAAAGTAAAATAATAAAAAAATCACGACGTTTCGGAGGCAACACAAGCTTCCGTCTTCAGGTAGAACCGTCACAGCCCGACAGCTATATCAAGTAAATGAGAGATTACACGAGTTAGCAAGAGGGGGGGGGGGGGACTAAGCCCTCTTGGATTCACTCCGAAGCGAACATTTCGTCCGCACACGTGACTCGCTCACCCTCCCCCCTCCACCCCCTCTTCCGTGCCCCCCACCAACTGAACCTTATGGCGGTACCCCGGCTCTCGCATAATGTCCGTGATGCAGTCATTTTTAGTCTGTTGATGATCGGCGATGCGGCAATCGACTCGTCTCGACGAGCTGTACATGATGTACCGCTACGGTGCGTAACGCGAGCGCTCGGGGTTCCGGCGCAGTCGTCCTCGCTGCGTTTGGACATCGCGGAGTAGCACCGATTTCGGATTGATTGGTACCCCGGTGGCGGAGTTAAGTAACACCCCTGGAAAAAATAGTGTCCCAGAAATAAAACATTTAATTGCCTTGGCCCATTTTGTATTATTTGTACCCGGGGTACCGCCGTGAGGATCAACAGTAAACTACCCCCCCCCACCTCCACCCCCCCACCTCCACCCCCCCATCTCCACCCCCCCCACCTCCACCCCCCACCTCCACCCCCCCACCTCCACCCCCCCACCTCCACCTCCACCCCCGCCCACTGCACGCCCATTCCACTTCAACTTCCTCTTCCCCACCTCCGAGGCAATGCATCTGTGCGTGGCTTGTTCGGCACGTCGTGTTGCTTCGCGGTGATACGCGGGTGCCTCGTTAGGAGCCGGATTGCTTGCCACTTATAATTTGCCGCGGGTTCGGTCTGGCTGATGGGACGTGTGAATCTATGCCAGGCGCTCTATTAGCAGGCCGACTTTACGAACAACAACAACAACAACCACAAAACCACGGTGCGGACGCGGTCACTGAATGCCTCTTAGCGGTCGTCGGTACGTCTTCTTGCTACGGGGGAGGAACATAGAAGGGCACTTGATTGCTCGCGAAATGGCAAACATGTTGTCATGAAGAGGAGGAGCAATGTTTATTGCTGATTAGGGATGTGACGATTCACCACCCCCCCCCCCCCACTTCCTCCCCCACCACCCACCCAACCTTACCAACGGCGACTCAATTAACGCTTGAAACTTTGGGTGGCGGGCGGGGGGGGGGGGGGGGCATTGCGTTGATTTGATAGCGCCTCGAGTCGCTGCACGGGTAACGCGAACCAATTACGGCAGGGCCCAGATAGGCGTCGCAAGACGGGCGAGGCTTATACCCCCACACGCGATTCGATGCGTGTCACGTGAGCGTAATCGCCGACATCAATGGGTCGCATCGACGCGGAGTCCCTTCCACAACCCCGCTCACTGTACGGCAGCGTTGATCAAAGTTCGCTACTTAGTCCACATCAACGCCTCTCCATCTCCTCCTCCTCCTCTTAACCTTCCATCACCTTACCACCCCCTTTTTCGTATTGCACCTCCCCCCACGCCCCCCTTCGCCCCCCCCCCCGTTTTGCATTTCCTCTTTCCCATATTTGCCATTGTTTTGCAATCAAATCCAAAGTCTCGATTTAAAGCTTTCGTGACTGCAGGGATTCATCTTTTTGGTTTTTTCGGTAAAGTCACGTAGAAGAGAAGTAATAAAATAATAAAAATAAAACATAATAAAATAATTCTCACGACGTTTCGGCTACAACGCAAGCAGCCGTCTTCAGGTGTAGCCGAAACGTCGTGAGAATTATTTTATTATGTTTTATTTTTTATTATTTTACTACTTCCCTTCTACAAGACTTTACCGAAAAAACCAAGAAGACAAATCCAAAGTCGTTACACATTGCGAGCACAGGATGACCGCCATAAATAGCAAAAAGTCAACGTGCAACATTTGGCCAAAACATTCGTTGACGTTGGATCAACGACGTTGGTGCAAAGCGTTGGCTCAACGTTTGCAAACGTTTTGCCGGGGTTTTAACTCTCACTGGCGTTTCGTACATGAAGGCACATTTTGTTATTGCCACGCACTTGCCCGCAACGCGTGCCTTCAAGTCCTACGTCGGTACGCGTGTCTCCCCCCTCACCCCCCCTCCCCATTATTGCAGCGTCAATCGCGCGGAGTGCGGTATAAATGGCTTATTAGCGGATATAACACGCCCTTCCCCTGCCTTTTGTACGCGCACCTGTCCCTCGCTAGAATCCACGTCGCCCACACCCGCACACACACACACACTCTCTCTCTGGCGTAATGCCGCAGACACGAAGGTTACCCATGACGCAACGACAGATATGGCAACCTCTGTATTGTTCACACGCTCCCACACCTGCTTCGTGCGGCTTTCGTGCTACGGAAAATGTGCGAGGATGATGGTGATGATGGTGATGATGTAATGGACGTGCCGTCGTTGTTTGAACTGTTGAACAAACTCACGAGGCATGCGCGCTCACACAGCCGGTCATGCGTACGGCTCATTGCCCGCGCTGCTGCTGCTGCACGTGTCGTTTTGCCACGGTGGCGAAGAGATGTTAACTCCCTCGCCAGGTATACAGGAGGTTCGTGGGTTCGATCCCGACCCTGACGCCTGCTGTATATTTGCAGTTTGCGTCTCTCTCTCATCATCATCACGGTGGCTAGGAGATGTTAACTCCCTCGCCTGGTATACAGGAGGTCATGGGTTCGATCCCGACCCTGACGCCTGCTGTATATTTGGAGTTTGCGTGTCTCTCTCTCTCATCATCATCACCGTGGCTCGGAGATGTTAACTACCTCGCCTTATATACAGGATATCGTGGGTTCGATCCCGACCCTGACGCCTGCTGTATATTTGTAGTTTACGTGTCTCTCTCTCTCTCATTATCATCATCAGGGTGGCTAGGAGATGTTAACTCCCTCGCCTGGTATACAGGAGGTCGTGGGTTCAATCCCGACCCTGACGCCTGCTGTATATTTGCAGTTTACGTGTCTCTCTCTCCCCGTGGTCGCGTGGATTTTTTCTCCTGGTCCTCCGGTGTTTTGCCCTCCACATGATAAGCCACTTCGTTGAGCGATCATCTGTGACCATGCCCATTCTGAAAAACAGCTACATAGCTCAATGGATATTACCTTGTAAAATAAAAAAAACGTGTTTTCAGTTAATTTTTTAGTTCGTTTAACACGTAGGCTTTAGTTTGCCATGTCAGTGTCTGCTGACTATTTGTTGAGTGTCCGGTGAGTGTCTGGTGAGTGAAGGGCGAGTGAGCGGTGAGTGACGAATGAGTGCGAGTGTCAGGTGAGCGAGTCGTGTCTGGTGAGTGTTTGGTAAGTGCCAGGTGAGTGGTTTTTTTGTGAGTCGTATTTGTTGAGTGCGTAAAGTGGGCGATGGAAGCCTGGTGATTGTGTTAAGCGAGTGGCGAGTGTTTGGCAAGTGCCAGGTGAGTGTTTGGCGATGGGCATGCCGAGTGGCTCAGGTATGGGGAAAGCTTCTGGTGAGTGTGCGAGGTGAGTGGTGAGTGCCTGGTGTCAGGTGAGTGACGAATCTCTGGCGAGGGGACACTATAACGTGGGTGTCAACGTCACCCCAACCGCACGATGGGCTGCCCTCGAGTGCCACATTGCATCGCTGCGGAGACAACTTTAAAATAATGATCTCCCTTGCAGCCATCGATTAGGCCCTTCACTTCGCGGCAGGCGAGAAGCCACCGAGATAAAAGCAATATATATTTATAATGCAGTATATTGTTTTCAAGGGTCAATGTCTAACTCTTAAACAGTTATCCGTCTCATTCGACCTTCAAATCCTTCGCTTATCCTCGTCATCAATGTCAGCAAGCTCGGCCCTAATGCCTCGCACGAACAAAAGCATGAACGACACTTGAAAGTAAACCTCTGATTAAAACGAAATACACTCAGAGATACACACACGCGTTGCGTGACCTTGCTCAAAAAGAAGAGGGGGGGGCATACAAAAGACAAAGATCCCCCGTATAGCCTAACGGACTATAGGGGCAAGTGATGTTAGCGAGCACCTATAAAGGCCGGCACGACACACGAGAGGGTGGCCAACACCACACCCGGCCGCCTTTGTCTCCCTAGTGGCGATGTTTACACATCGCACCAGGTATTTATTTGAGGCTGATTCGATCTAGGAAAGGCCCAGGACCGGTTCAGATAATCGTCACTGGTGTTGGCCATGAGCGGGAATCGAACCCGGGTCGCCAGGTTCGTAGCGCAGCGCGCTAACCGCTACACCACCGCTCCCCATATACACACACATATACACACATATACACACACACATACACACACACACACATATACACACACACATACACACACACATACACACACACATACACACACACATACACACGCACTCAGCACGACTCGGTGCTCGTTGGACGCGCTTGCAGCGAACGCGGAGCGCTACGCGTGCAGAGCCGTCGCCTCGTTTGTCGGTCGGCTCGCATCCAGCTCAAGTCTTGTTTTCTGTAAGCGCTCTCTATTGTGACGTAGACAGAGTTGAACCCCCCGCCCCCCTCACCCCCCACTAGCACCCACCCCTCCACCTACATTCCCGACGTGAAGGGTGTAGGCTGGACGCATGCGTTCTCGGGCAGCTTCTCGCGAACTTTGGCCGATGGGCACCGGACCCTACTCATCTATCCCCCCCAAACATCATCGTCATCATCATCAATCAATCAACCCACCTCCACCTTCACCACCACCACCATCACCACCACCACCATCACCACCACCACCACCACCGGGGCGCGCCTCCCCCCCCCCCCCCTTGCAATGAACTCACCTGCCGGGGAAGGAAGTCGCTCGGAGCCAGGACAAAGCCCTGCACGAGCAGGAAGACGGCGGAGGTGGACATCCCGGCCAGGATGGACCACAGCAGCGGCAGCGGGAGCATGGTGTAGGTGGCGAACACCGTGAAGAGCGCGTACGAGACCCCGTCGCGGTAGAGGCCGCAGCCGAGCCCGCCTGCCACCTGCACGCTGAGCGACAGCCAGGTGATCATGCCGGCGCACTGCAGGTATGCGTGCGACGCCGCGTTCTTGCCCACGAGCACCAGGATGCACAGGATGACGCCGACGGCGATGAACGCGCCGGCGAGCGCGGCGCGCACGGGCTTGAGCATCGAGGGCGCCACGCTCGTGTAGACCACGAGCACCGTGAGCTTGAAGAGGATGTCCACCACGTTCATGACGATCAGCGACTTCCGCCGCTGGCGTAGGAAGTAGCGCTGGTAGAGGCGCTCTAAGTCGCGCGACCTGAACGCGTCTCTGAGCGTGGGCAGGATGAGGCCCCGGTACGTGATCCCTCTGCCCAGCAGGTACTCTGATGCCGTGCGCTCGTACGAATCGCCTCCTCCTCCTCCTCCTCCCGCGCTGTAGTCGCTGTCCGTCGAACTGTGGCTGGCTTTACCTGGGTGCACTTTCCCCGAGCTCGCGTGGCTGCCGCTGCGAGAGCCCTTGTTCAGGATTTGCTTGTTGATGTCCTGGATGTCCTGGTCGGTCACCGTGACCTTGCACTGCGCGCTGCGCTGCTCGGTGATGTGCCGCACGGCAGACTGCCACATGAGGCGCCTCGGACCCGCCACGAGGTGTCCCGAGGAGCCGTGTGGCGCTAGAGAGCTCAGCTCCTCGTCGCTGGCCGTGCACGGTTTGCCGTCCACCGCGGAGCCCTCCGCGTTGTTCTCCATGGTTCATGTGCGTCGGGCGGACGGGCAGAGAGTGGGGGGTGGGGGAGGGTGCTGCTCGTCTCGTCCTGTCCGTCTGCCAGCAACGGCGGCGGTGATGGTGCTGCTGCTGGTGCTGCTGCTGCTGAGCGACTGTGGCGAGGAGGGAAGGAGGAGGAGGCAAAGGGCGACCCGGGTCAGCGGTGTCAGTCAGACAGACGGCGCGCGTGCGGATGTATATACAAAGTCAGATAACAGCGGTCGGGGTTAGAGAGCGGCGCGCTGTCAATCCCACGACGTGAGTTCGATTTCCGTGCGAGGCGAACGTCGGTGGTGAGTGATGTCTGCACCGATCCGGGGGGTTCTTCTCACGGCTCGCCGTGCACCGCCACGCGCTGACCCCGATTCACAAAGGGGGGTATTGTCATCGTGTTATTAAAGGGATCAGACGCATCAGATATATCTGCGTCAGGCGCACGATTGCACGTGCGAATGCGATTTGAAAAGTCAGAAACACACGGCCGGATATGCGAGTCCGATACGACAGACTCGCATGCACGATTCAGACCACAGGTGTAAGACGCACGTATCACGTGACACAGGTGTAGGGTGACACATGCGTCAGACACACGTGAATCAATCACACACGCGCGCGCACACACACAGGCACACGTGTGTCTGACACACGAGTCGGACACACGTGCCAGACACGCGAGACGACAGCCAGACCCACGGTTCCGAAACAATGCCACGACATACACGTGACTCGTTTAGAGATCAATTGGAGCTCGCCCATTGAGGCTGGTATATGATGATGATGATGTATATGATTATGATGATAATTTTACAAAGAATGTTTTTTGTTAAAAATTCAGTGATGAAAACCTCGCTGACTGTTGTCCCAGGAGGATCCTGCAATGTGACGTTTGTCCAATCCCTCCCATCGCCGGGTGGTTTGGCGTCGTGTGGGAGGAAGATCGGAGCGCCCCGAGAAACCCTCCCCCCTCACCACGCGTTACGGAGTTGGGGGGGGGGGTCGGTGACTGACACTCGAGCTCCGCACACGACAGATTCAAGAATCCAGTCGCTGTACTTCCATCTGCCGATTACCCCGTAGCCCCGAGCAGACAACGCCCGGTAGACGCGGCTCGTATCCCATCCGAGAAACCAGCCGGGCTTTAAAATCGCCGCTCAGCTGCCGCGATGAGTCGAGATGGGGCACACTCGTCGGCGGCGTCGAATTTGATGCCGAGGCAGCGGTGAGTTCCGCATTGTCAATTCGGAAAACCAAAGTCACGACTCGCCAAAAAACGGTTCACGTTTTTTTTTCTTCTCTCCCTCTCTCTCTCACAGCTCAGCGGCATTGACACCATCGTCAGCTTCCCTCCCTTTCTCACTCACCCTTCTACCCCATCCCTCTCTCACCTCAAGACAAAACGCGCTGACGTCCGCAATAACAACAGCGGGGAGGGGTTGGGGCAAACGGTCAAACGACAGCCGATTTGGCTCAATGAGTCCTGGGCGAAGCGTCCGGTTTCCGAATCAGAGATGGGCCAATCCAATTTAGAGCCTAGCCGTCGCGGAATGGAGCCGCGGCACGAGCAACGTCAAATGCATTCTCTGACCTTGCCCGAGCCAGTGCGGGCGTTGCGACGAGTGTCCGGCAGTCGCAGTCATACAAATCGGAGACGTGAAATGCGCAGCCCCCCCCCTACCCCCTTCTCCCGCCCCCCCCCCCCCCCCCCCATTTTTGTCAATCCACACTGGATCAGGGCCCTCGTTTCCCAGATTTGTGTGTGTCGGGTTTGGTCATTTGGCCATAACAATCTTGACTTAAAGCTTTTGTGACTTAATGCTTTTGGTATTTCGGTAAAGTCACGTAGATAGGTTCCAAGAAAATGTTTAAAAAACCTACGTTTCGATCACAACACAAGCGATCGTCATTATTGTGTTGTGATCGAATCGTCGTCGTATTTTTGTTATTTTTTTTAACCTATCTACGTGACTTTACCGAAAGACACAAATAATTTGACTGTAACAATTGAGGACGTCGGTCAGCGCGCTTTGGTGCAGGCGGGCAGCGGAGATGTGGGAACTCGCAATCCCAGCACAGCTGTTGCCTTTGGTGCGCTGCCCTCTGCTGCCCATAACGTCGCCCCCACCACTCCACCACCACTCCACCACCACTCCACCACCACTCCACCACCCCACCACTACACCATCCCACCACCCCACCACTCCACCATCTCATCACCCCACCACTCCACCACCTCACCACTACACCATCCCACCACCACACCACCACCACACCACCTCACCACCTCACACCACCTCACCACCCCACCACCCCACCACTCCACCACCCCACCACCACACCACCTCACCACCTCACCACCCCACCACCACACCACCTCACCACCCCACCACCCCACCACTCCACCACCCCACCACCACACCACCCCACCACTCCACCACCCACCACTCCACCACTGCACCACCTCACCACCTACCACTCCACCACCCCACCACTCCACCACCCCACCACCCCACCACTGCACCACTCCACCACCCCACCACCCCACCACCCACCACCCCACCACCCCACCACCCCACCACTCCACCACCACACCAGCCCACCACCTCACCACTCCACCACCCCACCACTCCACCACTCCACCACCCCACCATCGCAGCCTACGGCATGCCACCTGCTCTGGTAAATGGAGTGGGCTAAGACCCACAGAGAAAAAGATGCGCGCTGCTTGACATTTACACCGCGCGAGACACAGAGAGGAGAACACTTAACCCAGAGAACAAAATCGCGAATCGAGCGGACAACATCCGTGACCGCTGCGGAAAATGAAGTCGGCCCGGGCAGGACGCAGTCGTCGCCGGCTGGACGCGAACGAGACTGGCATCGGAATGACACGCAACGGACGGAGCGCTCCCGAGTGCGAGCGGCGATGGGAAGGTCAAGCTCGTGTGCGGGGAAGGCGCGATGATGGATTGGTGGCATCGCGGGACCGTGAAGGGTGGCGACGGCGTTGGGGAGGTCCTCATCCAGCAGTGGACAGACCCTGGCTCGGGATGACCGACTGATGACGAGTATTATAATATGACGATTGGTAATGAAAGTCACCGAGAAGGTGAGCGTGCGATAGCACAGACGCCACACGCATTGCCGCAGAAGGAGGTGAGCCACTAACGAGGTTGAGAATCCATTAACGAGGTTAAAGACAAAGGCGTATGGAGAGGCCGCCTGCATTGCCTGGTGACACCGCGCAATGCACACACAACAAGGATAACTCGACGCATTCGTCGACAGCGCTGCTCTCAAGTGAGATATACAATAGGCGACGTTTCGGGCACTGGGCCTTCCTTCTCCGCAGCAAACGTGTCGAGCTGCGAGCTATTCATTCAATTGCGAAGCTGCGTTACATAACGCGCTCCCCCCCCCCCACCCTCTACTCGCGAGTTATCAAATCTGGAGCGCGTCTCTCATCATCATCCTCATCCTGATCACCATCACCCAGTGGAGCTCGGAGAGCAGCAGCAGCAGCAGCAGCAGCCGAGTGCTTTAAGCAATTCCGCATCAATTACAGCGCGTTCGATGGGATTTATCAATTATTATCGTGGAGCCGTGTCCGCTTCTGTGCCGTGCGCCCGTGCGTGCGTGTTGATGCGCGTTGATGTGTGCCCGTGCGTCCTTTGTTGCTGAATGTGCGGCGGTAGCAGTGTAACGGTGAGCCAAACCTGCGCTCCGAACACTCTACGACCCGAGTTCGATTCCTGCTCACGGCCTACACCGGTGACGATCATCTGAACCGGTCCTGGGCCTCCCCTAGGTTGACTTAGCCACAAATGGGTACCCGGTGCGGTGTGTAAACATCGCCACTGGGGAGACAAAGGCGGTCGGGCGTGGTGCTGGCAACCCACCCCCTCGTGTGCCATGCTGGCCTTCATAGGTGCTTGCTAACAGAACTTTCCCGAAAAGTCCATCAAGGCTATATGAGGGATCTTTGTCTTTGTAGCTTGATTAAGGCTGTGTCTAATGTCTATATGTGTGTACGTGTGGCTGTGTCTATGTGCATGTGTGTGTACGTATCGCTGTATCTACGTGCATGTGTGTGTACGTTTGGCTATGTTGATATGATTCTGTGTATACGTGTGTCGTGTTTTGTATCTATTTGTGTAATTATGTACATGCTACTCATACGATGTGTACATACTATATGTGTAATACTGTATATGCGCGGGCGTGTCTGTCTGTATTTGTTTCATCTTTTAATCGCACGTGTGCGTGTGTGTTGGTTGGTGCTCGTTCACACCACTTGTCCCAGTCGTCTGTTGAAGGCTATATCGGGGATCTTTGTTTTATCTTTCATGCCGTGTGCTTGTGTGTGTGTGTGCACGTGTCTGTGTGCTTCTGTATACACGTCTGTGTGAATGTGTATATATGAGCGCATCTGTATGTGTGTGTGTGTATACACACGTGTGTCTATGCATGCGTTATTATGTATGTGCATGTATCTGTTCACATGCATGCACACATCTGTACGCACATATGCCTGCGTATCTGTACGTGTCTCACGTCATTCATGGCTATGTGTGCGTGAGCGTGAGTGAGTATGGGCATCGACACGAGCGTGCCCACCCTCTGTATCTGCAAGGACGAGCGCGTGCCGTACCTTTGCGCGCAGAGGGCGCTTGGTAGTGGAGCTGTAATCGCAGCACCGCCTTGTCCGTGTCACCTCTTCGACGACAGTCGACCTCGTCCCCAATAATAGCCAGCAGCGCGCGCCGCCGGCTGCCTCGCAATGTAAACAACAGCGACCGCCTCTTCGTCCATCCACGTGTTGCCTCCCACTCGACCACCTCCTCCTCCTCCGACTCCTCCGACGACTCAACCCGCTCTCGTATCTGCCAAATATCTCTCTAACCCTCCTCCAAATTCACCGAGGTCGTATTTCTCATCGCTGATGTCCTCTTCACCTGCTGCTGCTGCTGCTGAACGTCAACACACCTGGCCTCGAGCACTTGCCGGAACGTCTCGGCGGCTGCGCAGGCGATGCCAGCGCAATTTCAGAGCGCTCCTCTGCGTTCGTGCGCGCGGTCACGGGGCAGTGCCCACAGACGGCGGCGGCGGCGACGACGACGGTGTGGGAGGCGGTGGTGGGAGCAGGAGGAGACCTCAAACAAGCAACAGTCCTCGTCCGCCGCATATCGAGCAGCGGTTACCGAAGCAGCCCGTGCGCGGCTGTTGCTGCTGTGAGACACAGGCAGCAGCAGCAGCAGAAGCGGCAGCAGCAGCAGCAGGAGGAGGCACAACCGCTCCCGCGTTGCGGGACGCGGCTGCCTGACCCCGAATTGGCATCAGTCAATTGACACGGGGCAGATGATGACCACCACCGCCGCCACCAGCAGCAGCGGCAGCAGCTTAGTGATATAAATAGATATGTTGTTTTTGTTCGAGTACGGACCGAACCTAATTACTGCGCCGTCTGGTCAAGTTTGTTGACCTCACGTGGCAGTGTCGGCAGTGTTGTTAATGGTCATCGTCTTCAGCAGCAGCAGCATCGACCGCAGCAGCAGCAGCAGCCGCCAAGTGCGCCTCGCGTCGAAGGCCAAGTCCCCGTGGTCAAGCTGGCATCTGCGGGTGCGCGTCCAATGGGTCTCGCCGTCTCAGCGTCTCTCCCCAACCCCCTTCAGCTCCCCTTCCTCGCAGATTCTCTCGGCCAGCAGCCAGCCCGGGCCCCTCTGCCTCGGCTCGCCTCTCTGTGGGCGTCTGCCTGTGGCTCTCTGCTCTCTCTGTATCAGTTGTGGATCTCCGCTCGGGGTCGGATTGAATCTCGCGATTCGCAAGAGATCCCCCCAGTACCGCTCCTCTCTCGCTCTCTCGCGCGCGCTCTCGCTCGCTCGCTCTCTTTCTCTCTCCCTCCACGGCTCCGTTCTATTCTCAGCGGTCGAGTAACGGCGGCTGCGCGCAACGAGGCAGTGGGAGGGTGGGTGGGTGAGGGAGGGAGGGTGGGAGGGTGAGGGGGGAGGGAGGGACGGTGGGTGGGTGAGGGAGGAGAGAGATAGGGATGGAGGGAGGGAGGGAGAGACGGAGGGGATAAAGGAGAGAGAGAGAGATGGAGGGAGGGAGGAGGGAATTGGAGGGCTGGGCCGTGGGGCTCTCTGCGTTTCCGTCTCGGTACCTATTTGACGTCAGCTCACGGAGCGCAGAGGGGGCGAGGAGGGGGAGGGAGGGAGGTGCTGGATCAGGCATGGGTGGATGAGTGATGGAGAGAGCGCGTGAGTGAGGGAGAGCGAGCGACGAAGAAGATATGTCAGCAACAGAAAATTCACACGAAGGGACGTTCACGCCGAGATATACATCTCCGTGAATGCATTTTTTCCGTGTGTATCTGCGTGTGTGTGTATGTATCTGCGTGTGTATCTGCGTGTATTTGTGTGTATCTGTCTCTCTGTGTGTCTGTGTGCGTAATGGAGCGGTGGCGCAGCGGTCAACGCACTGCGCTACGATCCCGACGCGAAAGAGTTCGATTCCCGCTCACGGCCAATACCGGTGACGATTATCTGGACCGGTCGACCCAGCCTCAAATGAGTACCCGGTGCGGCGTTAGGGCGCTGTGCTGGCCACCCGACCCCCTGGTGTGTCGTGCCGGCCTTCAGTAGGTGCTCGCTAAGGGCTCTAGCGAGCATGGGGGGCGTGTTCCTATGCGCATTGCGCGCGGGATGTGGTGGGGGAGGCGACAGATGATTTTGTTCAGTTTTACCGCGCGACGCATTCGATGGGCACGTGAACTGCACGCTCCACGCCACCCTCCTCCATCTCATCCCCACCAGCACCGCCACCACCCACCCTCAAATCTCCCACCCCCCACCTCTCCCTTTCTCACCCGCCTCACCAGACCACGTGACCGGCGCTCTTTAACGATACCGATTGCCATTCATGTGCTCACACCCGATTCACAATAGCCCTGGGTAGGGGGCTAGACGGCGTGGTGGTGCGCGCGCGCGTGTGTGTGTACGTGGGGGAGCGGTGGTGCAGCGGTTAGCGCGCTGCGCTATGAACCTGGCAACCCGGGTTCAATTCCCGCTCACGGCCAACAGCAGTGACGATTATCTGAACCGGTCCTGGGCCTCCCCTGGGTCGACTCAGCCTCAAATGAGTACCTGGTGCGGTGTGTGAACATCGCCACTGGGGAGACAAAGGCGGTCGGGCGTTGTGCTGGCCACCCACCCCCCTCGTGTACCGTTCCGGCCTTCATAGGTGCTCGCTATCAAGCGACTTGCCCCTACAATCTGTTAAGGCTATACGGGGGATCTTTGTCTTTGTGTGTGTATGCGCGTTATCGTCATCATAAAAACCACAACCATCAGCAACAGCAGACGCTCTCTATCCACTGCTGGATGAAGGCATCACCAAAGCCGTCTCCATCCACCACGGCCCAGGGCTGCTTCTGCTGCTGCTGTTGCTGCTGCTGTTGCTGCTGTTGCTGCTGTTGCTGCTATTATCCATCTCACGCGCACTGATCTCACCCATCTCATCTCCGCGGTGGTCGTCCTCACTGACGCCTCCACGTACTTGGCAAGGGCTCGCACTGCGTGATGTCCGCCTGAACCACTCGCCCCTGACAGACCGTAACGGTCTCTACGGGAAGATCTTTGGATTTGCCTCTCCGTGTCGGTGTATCCGGTGCATGTGTGTGTGTGTGTGCATGTGTGTGTGTGTGTGCATGTGCCTACATATACGGGGAGCGGTAGTGTGGCTACGAACCCGGCAGCCCAAGTTCGATTCCCGCTCACGACCAACACCAGTGACGATGATTTCAATGGGCCCTGGGCTTCCCTTAGGTCGACTCAGCCCTAAATGAGTACCTGGTGCGGTGTGTGAACATCACCACTCGGGAGACAAAGGCGGCCGGGCGTGGTGCTGGCCACCCACCCCCTCGTGTGCCGTGTCGGCCTTCATCCGTGCTCTCTAACAGCCCTTGCTATGTGGAAGATCTTTGTTTTTTGCGCGCGTAATGCGTCGTGGTGAGTGCACCGCGCTAGGAACCAGGCGACCCAGGTTCAATTCCCGCTGTGACAATTATCTGAACCGGTCTCGCGCCTCCCCGAGGTCGACTCAGCCTTAAACGTGTAGTTGATGCGATACGTGGTAAGCATCAGCACTGGGGAGACAAAGGCGGTCGGGCGTGGTGCTGGCCACCCACCTACTCGTCGTGTGCGATTTGGATCATCATAGATGCTCGCTAAACAACAACATTTTGTTTGTTAGAGAGCTGTTTCAAGGTGGCCATGGTCATAGCGCAGTGTGTTGACCGCTGCGCCACCACTCAACTCCTGTTCATGGACACGTCACAGCCCTCGTTGTCAATCCCCTGCTGGATGAAGGGTTATTTTTCCATACTTCAAGACGCGGGTCGATGGGATGTTTGGTGAAGACGGGGTAGCACAGAGACGTTGGAGCACAGAAGTACCGTACAACCATTGATTTCCCCTCCACCACCGCCCTCTAATGACGACGTGCAACAACCTCCAAACATCTTCTTGGTTCTTTCGGTAAAGTCACGTAGAAGGAAAATAATAAAATAATACAAATAAAACATAATAAAATAATTCTCACGACGTTTCGGCCACAACGCAAGCAGCCGTCCTCAGGTGAAGACCAGGTCTGTCGGGGAGACAGCGTCTGCATTCATTCAGACGCTGTCTCCCCGACAGACCTGGTCTTATTTCCCTTCTACGTGACTTTACCGAAAGAACCAAGAAGATGAATCCCTGCAGTCACGAAAGCTTTAAATCGAAATTTAACCTCCAAGCACTCTCCAGGCTCGGGCCTGCTTAGCTTCTGGAGGCTGTCGAGACCGTGCGCGTGCCGGCTGATCTGGTAGCAGGCAGTGGATTTTGCGAAGGGCTGTAAATTGTCATTCATTATTCATGCATTGCGTATCACGTTACGTTGGAATGCAATATGGATTTTTCATTTCAACAGTAACAAGCATTTAATATTAACATTCAGTCAAGGGAAGTGCGTTGGCGCTGCGCTGCGCGTGTGTGTGCGCATGGGTCCGTGTTGTATGCTATTTCGTGGTATTTGGGTTGAAGGTGGAGGGGTTACCAGTTCCCTCGCACTCGTCCAGAGCCCCCCCCACTAAGGCCGCTGTGGTGGCTACAAACGCCATGAGGGGCATGGGCGATTTGAGATTGGCCCTTCCCCCAATGGCACCGCTCACCACAGCGTGTTACCGTCCGGCAACAACGAGGAGCTAGGGGGATGTTTTGCCCGACGTGCACATGGCCTGGCACAAGTGCCGTGGTGACGTCCCAGCAACTTAGTGGCGAATGTCGGTTTTTGTTGTTGTTGTGTAAGTGAGCATTTATCCATCGTGTTTTGCAATGCGTGGGTCTCCGTGCGCATTCATTGGTCTGTGTGTGCCTGTACCTGTGTATCTGCATGTGTGTGTATGCATGTGCATGCATGTGTGTGCATGTATCAGTGTGTTCGTATGTGTGTATCTGTGTGTATGTGTGCATGTATCAGAGTGCACCTAGCATGGCACAAGCGCCGTGGTGACGTCACCGCCACTTGGTTAAAAGGCGGTCGTTATGTATTTGTGTGTGTGCATGGGTCTATGCGTGTGTGTGTCCATGCGTCTATGTGCGTGTGTGCATGTGTCCGTGTGTCTGTGCGTATGGGGAGCGGTGGTGTAGCGGCTAGCGCACTGCGCTACTAACCCTGAGACTCGAGCTCGATTCCTGCTCACAGCCAACACCGGTGACGATTATCTGAACCGGTCGATTCAACCTCAAATGAGTACCTGGTGCGGTGTGTAACCATCGCCACCAGGGAGACAAAGGCGGCCGGGTGTGCTGTTGGCCACCCAACCCCTCGTGTGCCCGTGCGGTATTCATAGGTGCTCGCTAACAGCACTTGCGTCAACAACCTATTGAGGCTATCCGGGGCGGGGTTTCTGTTGTCTTTGTGTGTGTGTGCAGGACTCGACACTCGATGCAAGCGACTCGAAGCATCGATGCGGGAGCGATTTAAAAGCCGAGAGGGATGCGACGTAGAATCGTAGGAATTAAAATAAGACGCGAGCTCGAAGGGGACCCCCGGCTCCTCCACCCGGCAGCCTTTCCCCAAGAGCCCACGGGGCTGTGTGGTGGAGGGCCGTGTGCGTGTTCAACACAACGCAGCACAGAGGACACACGCTCGTTGCGTTAGAGAATAAAACGCCAGTAATAGTCATTGGGTGGAATGCTATTTATTTATATATACAGGAGTGCATTGTTGATTCTGAATAATTGTAGTTTTTTTCATGATTATCAGGAATGACCTCTATTGTGGATGCTTGGATGTTTTATTTTTGTACGGAGTGATTTATTTGGCTTGCTTAAGACTGTCTTATCTGATATCGTTTCAGGTTTCGGTAGGTGGATGAGTGGGTGGATTCGGAGGCTATGGTGAGAGGGTGGGTGAGTCGTAGCTGGGTTAGTGAGTGTGTGGATGTGTAGGTGGGTGGGTGAGTGAGTGAGTGGTGGGTAGTGAGTGGTGGGTAGTAGGTTGATCAGTGGTGGGAAGACTGGTTGGTGCGTGGGTGAGTGAGTGCTTGGGTGGGTGAGTGGTAGGCAAGTCGTGGATGGGTAAGTAGTGGGTGAGTGGTGCATAGGTGGATTGATGGATTGTGTGGGTGAGTTGTTGAGTGGGTGGGCAAGTGGGTGGGTGATTGATGTCGTGAGTGGTGTATGGGTGGGTGGTGCGTAGGTTGGTGAGTGGGTGAGTGGTGGGTGGATGTCACGGTGGTGTGGCGATTGGGTGGGGTGGTTTAGTGAATTGCATCGCTCTGTAAATCAACTGAATGATGTGTCAGCCAGCGATGTAACTGCACAATCCGTCGGAGGGGGAGGCGGCGTGGGCTTGTACTCGGTAAATAATGGATCTGTAGAA